CGTCCTTCGGTTTGGATTTCTTGGGCGCCACCAGCCACGGGTAGGAGAAATCGGACTTCCCAGGGGATGCGAACGAAGACCCGTCCAAAAACAAGTCGGGCCCGTCGATGGCGTTCTGGACGGCCTGCCCCCCTGGCCCCCTGCCCCCCGACGCAAGGGGCATCAGGCGCACTTGACAGCTCTGACCGCGCCCTTCTTGGTCCCTCCAGACGCGAGCCCCCCCCCATCCTCACGCTGTTTGTTCGCACTCATTCCTGCGCATTGCCACGGCACGCCGGAGAGTGAAAGTTGCGCCAACGGCACGTGGATGGGGGGAGCGGAGGTTGAGGAGAAAGGAGAAGGATCAGGGAAGTAGGAGGCGAGAGGGAGAGGAGGAAACCGAAAGGGCGATAGGGAGATGGGGGGAGCAAGTAGGGGGATGCTGCACATTAGAAGGGGTGGCCCTCTGCCCTCTGTCAGTTGTGCTGCGCCCAGCCTTCGATAATACCACATCCCCTGCCCGCCAGTGCAGCAATAATGTCAGATTTCGTATCAATATCCAGATCTAAATCCTCATCATCATCATGTCTCGTTGCATGTTCTCGCTGGTTCTGCAACAGAAGGTCTGCCAGGTCATTCATTTCCGTCCCCTCCGTGTGTCCTAACGTTGCAAGTAGCTCTGCAGCTTGTGCAGACTTCTTGAAACGATCCCAATCATCATGATCCTCCACCTCCTCACCAGGCACACAGTCAAGAGGAAGCAAGTACGATTTGGCCACGTTGCGGGCCACGGACAGTTCGACGACCCTGCCGCAATAAGGTAATTCCAAAATCTTGTGCTCGGAGACGGGCTGACTGCAGAGGGGGCGGGCCCGCCGCAGCCGTGGCGAGCCAATGCGGAGGAGGGGGCGAGGACGATGCCCGCGAGCGGGAGCAAAGTCTCGACGACGGTGGCGGAGCGAACGCTCGGAGGCATGTTCCCCGCCCACAGAGAGGGAATCCATGACTGACACAATAAGGAACGGAGTCCACGCGGGGGCGGGGAAAATAGAGCAGGGAGAAGAGGCGAGGGCGAAGCACAAAAGGAGGTGGAGGAGGAGGAGTGATCCCTGGTTGCGACTGTGCCAGGGAACAAGAAGAGAAACGAAGTCCGACGGAGCAACATGAACGAAAGAGTTGGAGGGAAGACCCGTGAGAATGGCACGATTCAAGACGAGATCAAGGGGCAGGGATGAAAGGAGAAGCGAAGGACAAGGAGAAGGAGGAGGATCAGCAGGAGAATGAGGAGCAGGAGGAGTAGGAATAGGAAGGGTGGAAGGAACGGGAGGGCGAAACGAAGGCTGGTCAGTGCAGTCGGCGAGCGATCGTGCTCACTGGCTCATCGAGCCCCTAGCTCAATCTGTCTTTTCATTGGTTCATTGGGGTTCGCGCCGTAGCCGCGGGAGGGAAGGAGACGGAGAAGCCTGGTTGGGAGCTCGTGAACATGGCGAACACGTTCGCTGAGGCTAGCTGCTTACGCGACATGGCGCAAGGTAATTAGGGGAGGGTCCCGCAGACGAAGAGGGAAGGAGGGGGGGGTGAGTTAGCGAGGGCAGGATGGCGCGACGGGAGTCGGGCGCGAGGGGCGAGACCGAGGATAAACGAGAACAACATTCATTTAGGAGGACGGAGGGGATGGGGGAGGGAAGGAGAAGGCAACCGGCATAGGATCAACGCGCGCAAACATCGATGGCCGCAGCCGCAACAAAGTGCAAGGAGGCATTGCCAACATCCCTGCCCGTCCCACCCGTCCCGGGCCGTCCCAGGCCACCGAATGATGGAGTACAATTTTTTCTCGTCAGTCTTGATGTTCCCGATGACTTTGACCATCAGGTTGGAAGACTTGCCCTCTTCGGCGGCGGTCATGGCCGTGATGTGCTGGTCTCCCCCCCAATCCCCAAACGCTCGCCCCTTAGCCCTGCCGCGCCAACTGCGCGCGTTCTCTGGGCATTTGCAGATTTCGACGCATGTGCTAACGTGCCAAGCGCACGCGCCGATACACTCGCTGATATGTGCATTCCTACCCTTTCTCCCGTTCTCGGTATCCTGTCCCCCCCCGCCGAGGATAATTTTGTTCAGGGCGGCCACGACCTCCCACCGTTCAATTGCATTTGCACAAGCCAATGCTGCATGCGCTGTTTTCGTCTGATCGCTCGCGCGCGCCGCCGCAGATCGCACCCAAGCACATCATGCGAATGGCAAGCAACAGCGCGCCCAGAGGTGGGCCAGATCTGCGGCGGCGCGCGCGCGCGATCACCCGATCCCTGACAGCGAGACCCCCAACGGGCATCTCATTGCAGAGACACCACCCCCACCCAATCAAACAACAAGGGAACAAGGGCTGGTCCCCCAACTGCATCGCCCCCCAACACTGAAGCAAGGTAAGCACATGAAAAACATTCAATGCTCACTACACCCACTACAGTTCGAGACAGCGATGTAGCACAAGGCAGCAGAGTGCCACTCTCTCCATGCTGATCGACTCAGAGACTCATCGACATTCGTCCCGAACGAGACGACAACTCAACTCCGAATCGAACCGACGACCCACGCGCTACTGCAATTGCCCCACACTGCCCGCTCCCCCTCCCCCCCCGACTTGCTTCCGGAATATTTGCGTGGCGAATCCACAATCAGCATCTTCCTCTTCCATTTTGGTAACGTGCTCTCGCCACTGAAGCATGCTGAAGATAGCAGGCTCTTTCGGGTCCGAGCCCGCGCCCTGCTGAGTTCCAGTATTTGCACCGTCGGGTCCACTAATCATCCGCTCGACCTCCCAATTCCCTCCGCGCCACTTGGAAGGGGGAGAAGGAGCAACCGCAGGGAGAGGAAGGCAGTCAGTCATCCTGACTCTCGCTCCCCCTCGCTTCATCCACCGTCCTCCCTGGGACTCCTCCCCCGACTGCTTCTCTGTCTCTCCGTCTCTCCCCCCATCCTCCCATCCTTCTCCTGCTCCCACTCAGTCCACTCACTTACTCTTCGTCCCATTCCCTTCCCCCATCTTCCCCCCGCCCTGCTCACCCTTCCCCACCTCCTCTTGCTCAGACCTTCGCGATTTCAATCCTGGATCCTGACTAGCCCCCAGCCCCTCAGCGAGCCGCGGCCTGGGCCCCAACAACCCTCCATATCCAATCATATAGTTCCAGACCCCCTGTTCGCCGCGTGCTTTCCATGCCGACATGCAGCCCCCCCCGCTCTTGGGGGGGCGTTCGCATCATGCTCAACTCTTCTGAAGCCTAGCCCCTGCTGCCATGCTGCCGATGCCCCCCCCGCGAGCAGCCCCCTGCTGGCCTTTGTGGGCTCAGGGTACTTCTCTCCTAGCCTACCGCTCACCACCAGCCAGGGGTCGGCCGCAAAAGCGCTGCTCTGGCGCCCGCTGGAGTTGGTGTCCACCCACTGGTTGATGGCAGCGCCGATGCTCTTCGTGCGCTCGCCCGCGAAGAGGCTGTTGGTCGGGTCGAACGTGACCCCCTTGATGCCGAAATCCTCGCATACCTTCCCTCGCTCGCATAACCCCCCCTCGCCAAAATTGCTTCCATTCGCCTGATCAATTCCTCACCACCACCCACACACACACCACTCCTCCATCCCCCTTCGTCCCTCCATCCAGCCATCCTTCCTTCATGTTATCTCTCTCTCTCTCTCTCTATAGATCTTTCTCGCCCTGTTTCGTGTTATTGTTTCTCTCGATCTCTCCCTCACTCTCTCGCGACATCTCTCTCCCTCTCTCGTTCTCTACCTCTCTCGTTGTCAACCTCTCTATGTATGTTTCTCTTCCCTATATGTATATACAAGGTTGTGAATCGTTGTATACATATGCATTTGTAGATGCATGCATATAGACTAGTAAACGCTATGTCTATATGTAGATATACAGGTGTCCATTTCTCCGTACACACACGTATGTAGTTCGTTATGCATACAACTATGTATATATAGATGTCGTTCCCGCTTCCTGTCGCACTCCCTCTCTATCTCGTTCTCCTCTCTCGCGCACACTCCACCCATGCATGTATTAATACACGTGTAAGTATGTGTCTGTGCAGGTGTATAGTTATCTCTCTGTCTCTCCTCTCTCTCTCTCCTGTCACAGTGCCATTCACGTGCGTACGCGCATGACTATGTGTAAACACACGCAAGCATTATAACATTATACGTCTCAACATCTGCATATACAGCATGCATACCCTTTGTATACACATAGACAGCCACATTCATATGTACGTGTATATATGCATGTGTAGACATACCTACATATACAGTTGTATCGTTGTGTAGCTCAATGTGTGTTCATCTCCATAGTGCCACCAGCCAGTTTCTGTGCGTAAACTTGCGCATGCATTGCTTCGCCGTTACGTACGTATATATTGCGGGAAGCCTCTATCAACGCACGCATGCACATCAGTGTTCTGCGGTCTGCTCCCAGAGCCGCCCGACTGCGGAGCGGGCGACCGCGAAGCGGATCGATGTAGTCAGGGCGTGCAGATTATTGTTTTTTGTCAACGCGCACGCAGGACCGCACGCTACAGCATGACTTGCCCCCTTCTTCCCCTCGTATCCCACCCCCCATCTCAGTCATCCACCCCGTCATCACCTATTTAAACATCGCGCCCCGTCTTCAAACGAAGCCCTGCCTCGCTATCCCTCCGCACTCGCCCGTCCTCTCGTTCCCTCTCCAGCCCATCCCCTCTCCCCCCATGTCATCGCCCAGCGCCGCATCCTCTCGCGCGACCCCCCGGCTGCAGACCCGACTCGAATGGCGCTCAAGGTTTCGCCCTCCCCCCTCACCTTATTCAACTGTTCATGGCCGTGCGCCTGCTGAAATTTCGCCTCGATCTGGGCGAACTCCGCGTCGAACGCGGCCGCCTGAGATGGGGTGCCAGTCTGGTCCAGCTCGCGGAGGATGGCGAACATCTCGCGCATCGCGTCCCCGAACTGCAGGTTGTGGGGGTGCGCCTGCGCCCCATGCCCCTGAGATGCTGCCACCCTCATCTTACGTTGCGGCCCTCTCCCATGCGCCGTCACACCGCTGCTCCCCGCACTTCATTTCCTACGTGCGTCGGCCACAGCGCGCCGCTCAGATTCTAACAGGAAGGCGCTGCGATTGCAGCCGCCTCCACGGCCGCCCATTCGGGCCTTTTCGCTGCCGCTCCCTATCCCCCCCCCGCAGGCCGTCATGACGGTGAAGATCTTCGGCGGCGCGACTGCTTTCTCGGCCATCTTCCCAAGGCACTTCACCTGGGATTGCAGCGGGCGGGGGGCAGGACAGCGGCAGAAGGACGAACATATTCCCCCAATAGGGGGGGGGAAGGGGAACTCCTCCTGGTCAGAAGGCGTTCTGCCAGACCGTGCCCCCTGGCAGAACGCTGAGGCGTGGAAGAATGCCAAGGTAGGCCTGTTTGATATAGCCTTATGACTGTGAGTAAAGCCCCCCTCCCCTCCCTACCCGCGGACTCCCTCCTTCATTTTCCCTTCTCGCGCCTCCATTCTCCCTCCTCCCTCCTCCCTCCTCATTCCTTCCTTCCTCCTTCCTCCCCCCTCCCTCCTCCCCCTCCCCTACCCGCGGAATGCCTGAGCGCCCATTCCATGCGCGCCCGCTCGGGGGGTGTACGCTTCCCGCGTGGCAGATACATCATCATCATCATCATCATCATCATCATCATCATCAGCAGCATCATCATCATCATCATCATCATCAGCATCAGCATCAGCATCAGCATCATCAGCATCAGCATCATCATCAGCATCATCATCTTCATCTTCATCTTCATCATCATCATCAGCAGCATCATCAGCAGCATCATCATCATACTCATCAACATCAGCATCAACAACATCATCATCAGCAGCAGCAACCTCATCAGCATCATCACCATACTCGTCCTCCTCCTCCTCATCATCATCATCATCATCGTCATTAGCATCAGCACCGTTCGTCATCATCATCATCATCATCACCACCACCACCACCATCATCATCATCATCATCATCATCATGAACATAATCATCAGCATCATCATCGTCATCATCACCGTCAGCCTCATCAGCATCAGCATCATCATCATCAGCATCATCATCAAGCCCATTGTGCTCGCCCTGGCCACTGGCCACCAGTCGTCCAGACGGCGTTGCGTCAGCGACCTCCGCGGGGAGCGGGGCGGGGAGGAATCGCGATGAGGGGTCGTTGGTGGGATGTTGTGTCGCGTGTGCGATGCGCGGGTTGGCCGCCGCATCGCAGATATGGTTCTTCATTTCGCCCGTGTCTCTTCGTCCCGTTCTGATTATACATTGGGTGGCCGTGTTGTCTCGCTGTTCTAGTAGAGATGCACCCTGGTCGACGTGTAGATGTCTGGCGTGCCCGTTTTCTAATTCAGGTGGAGTCAAAGGTGGGCTCCGCCACGTGCAGAGCAATAGACAGCCATGAGCCTCCCCTTGCGGTAGCATTCCCACCGCAAGGTTATTGGCGTGTGTTTTGCTCGTTTTCCCCATCTTCAGCCTATACATCATCGCACTCGTCATCAGCATGGTCAACATCAGTATCATCACCATCATCTTGATAATCACCACCATCATCATCATCATCATCATCATCATCATCATCATCATCATCATCATCATGGTGGCCATCCTCACTGCCACCATCCTCATCATTTCACAAGCATATCATCCGCGTCACCATCACCACAATCGGCATCGTCGTCATCATCGTCATCGCCATCGCCAGGTTCACCGTGAGAAGCAAAACGTCAGCGTCAACCTATTATTCTTTATCTGTACCACAACCACCATCATCATCACCACCATCCTCATCACCATCGCCAGCATCACCAGCATCACCAGCATCATCATAATCAGCATCATCACTCTCATCATCATACCATCACATCATCATCGCAAGCACCCCATCATCATCATCATCATCATCATCATCACCATCACCATCACCATCACCATCATCATCAGCATCATCATCATCAGTCTCAGCATCAGCATCAGCATCACCACCATCATCATCACCATCATCATCATCATCGTCATCATCATCATCATCATCATCATCATCGCCATCACCAGCAGCATCAGCATCATCATCAGCATCATCAATATCATCATCAGCAATATCACGGCTCTCCCAAGCCTGGAGATAAGAGGTTTGAGGTGTCACAATTGACGGCCCGCCGTGCCCCCTCGACCAGACGCCACCCAGAATGCTCAGAACGCTCGGCTGGCACAGTGGCGGAACTTGCCGCGGCCAGTTGGATTACCTTATTACCCTCCTCTTCTGCCCCTCATCTCAGGGGGGGGCGCTGCTCTGACTGCTCTTAGGGGCGGGCAGGCGGGCAGACAGGCCGACAGGCAGGGTGCTCGATGCAGCGTCACCCCACGGCGCGTCGGCGCGATCGCAGCAATCCCTGAATCCCTGAACGATGCGAGCGACAGAGTCCAGGAAGGTCTCGCCCCGATGCGCATGAGTGCGATATGTTAAGGCGCAGGTGCGAGGAGAGGGGAACTCGTGGACGGGCGGGGAGGAGAGCCAGTAATCAATCGGCGAAGGGACCCAGCAACGTCTGCGATCGAACCCGACGCACCGGTATGATTGCGAGGAAGGCCCCTGCCTCGATGGCCCCACCCACCCTCCAGCTTAACTTACGCAAGTGTGATGTGGCCCAGCTGCGCCTTGCTTGGGGACATGTAGACGCAAGCCTTGTTGGCGCCTTCCTGCTGGACAAGGAATCCCATCTGGCCCAGGGTGCTGCACAAATAAGAGACCACCTCAATCCGAAGGGCCAAGATGAGTTCGCGATTCACGTTTGCTTTCACTAGTTGCTCGAAGCACGATCCAGCTGCAATGACGCCAGGGGCGGTCGTGCTGGACGCTGTGGCCAGCGTCTCGAGGGCGGCGCACACTTTGTCGTGAGAGGGGGGGTACAGCTTTAAAGCAGCGGCAACGACGGCATCCTCGAACGTGCGCTGGCCGTCCTCGTCAGTTCTGAAAGACCCCCCCAGCTCGGCGATCTTGGCCATGACACCCTGCAACACCTCGCTGCTGACCGATGCCACCTCGGGTCTGACCTCCCTTGCCCACCTTTCCCTGGCCTGGAAGGAGGACGTTGTCCAGGGGTTGAAGAGGGGCGCCCAGCGTGCAAGCTGGACGCACAGACGGGCCCTCTCTACCTCTCTACTTTCTAATGGCGTTACTAGTTTGTTCCCCACCTCCTGCTCATCATCCCTATCATTATTATTTCCTTATCTCCTCATCATCATCACCATCATCACCAGCATCATCATCATCATCAGCATCATCACCAGCATCACCATTCGCAGCATTACATCAGCATCATCACCAGCAGCATCATCATCAACACCATCATATTAATCAACACCACCACCATCATCATCAATATCATCCTCATCATCATCAGCAGCATCATCATCATCGGAATCCTCCTCTCGGCTCCCACCCCTCACCTCCTTCCCCCTTTCATGCACTCGACCCCTTTTCGCCGTCTCATCCCTCCCTTGCAGGGAGGGGGGGAGCAGGGGGGAGGAGGGAGGGGCCCTCCCTCCTCCCCCCTGGCCCCCACTCCACCTCCCCCTATCATCCCCTGCTTCCTCCACCTCCACCCACCTACCCGCCCTGGGGTCCTGGGGTTGCCAGCAGGAGCGGGGGTGGGGCAGCCAGGAGGAGGCAAGGGGCGTGGAAGCACATTGGGGTGGGTTCACGAATAAGTGTCGCGGCAATCAATGAAGCTTCGAACAACGTCCGAACCAGGGCAAGTTTTCCAGCCGAGGCCCCAGATGCGCGGGCATGCCGCGCCGAGTCTAGACTGGACATGGCGAGAAGACAAACGGCCGCGCAAGCGAGCATTCAGAACCCTGCAAGGCGGTTGAGAAGGAGGTGGGGAAGGGGGTGGAGGAGGGGACGGGGACGCAGAGGGACAGCGACACGAGACTGAGAAGGACCTGGAGGAGGAGTGAGTTCGGGGCTGCAGTGAGCTGGCGAAATCGAGGGGGGCAAGCGCGAGAGAGGAACGCATACAACGAGAAAGAGAGAAAGAGAGAGAGAGAGAGAGAATGAGAGAGTGAGAAGAGATCTATAGAGCGAGAGACCTGCAGGAGATAATGAGAGAGCTACAGAGAGACAAACATAACAATGCGTCAGATACAGAGGGAGAGGGAGAATGAGAGATAGCTGGATATACACATATCTATAAGAGCGCGAGAGAGAGACAGAGAGACAGAGAGATAAGAGAGGGAGAAGAGAACGAGCGAGCGAGAGAGAGAGAGAGGGATGCAGAGGGAGAGAGGAGAGAGGCAGAGGGCGAGTGAGAAAGTCAGGGCAAAGGGTAGACACTGTGATAGGTGAGAGGGGGAGAGCAGCAACAGTGGAAAGAGAGAGAGAGAGAGGGAACCAGACAGAGCGAGAAAGAGAGAGAGAGAGTGAACGGGAAAAGGAGAGAGGGAGAGAGCGAGGGAGGGAGGAGAGAGGATGGGCAAGGATGAATCGTGATAGGCGAGGGGGAGCAGCGACGCAGCAGCGACGGGAAGAGCGAGGGCTGCATGTCCCCGCAGTTGCCCCCTCGCCCCTCCATCAGCGGCTGCGCGAAGGTCTTGACGTCCTTCAGCAGCTGCTCGGAGATGCCGCTGACCTCCTGGATGAGCTCCCTGCAGAAGCCCTCCGTGATCTCCTCGGCGGGGGTGCCGGCCTCCTCCTCGGGCTTGATCTTGAGCACCTCGTACGCGTCTGGATCGCTGTCCCTGGCGAGGGCGGGCGGTCGGTCGTCTCGTCTGGCTGCGAGCGGGAGGTAGGAGACAGGGGGGGGCGGCAAGCAGAAGGAGAGGGAGGGGGCGCTGTGGTAAAAGGTTAAGGAGGCACAGGAGGATGATGCAGGACGGGGACAAAGACGAGAATATGAGGACACGGAGCAGGACGCAGAAAGCGGTCGGGCAGGGTTTGGGAAGGGATATACCAGACAGTTGAAAGGGAAGCACGTAGGCAGGGAATGGGAGTGGGTCGGGGGTCGGGGAATGATGGAGGGAAGATGATTGATGCAGGACGTGGAGAATAGAACGGATGGCTAGGCGGAGCAACGGCATCACGGAGCCTCGGTTTGAGCTTTCTCGCGTTGTAGAGCCATTGCTTGAACGTGATCTTGAGGCTGGCCCAGCCCTTGATCACCTTCTCAGTATTCTTGACCGTCAGTTTGATGTTGGGCGACCTCCCCATCCCAACGTCCCCAGGGGCTCTGCTCCCAGCAGCGCTGAGTTAGTCTCGCCAGTCATCTTTTTGACTTAGATCCAGGATCCAAAGATCGCGTTGGGCGGACGGCTTTGGGGCGGAGCTGACAGGGGGCACTCACGAGAGCCGTCAGGGCCATGGGGCTGTGAAAGTAGAGTGCTGATCTGGGCGCTTCATGGGGTCCATGACAGCATCCCCCATCCACTCCTCCATCTAAATTGGAGATCTCCCAATCTTCATTCCCGATTGGCCCTGCCCTGAATGTCGACAACAGCTAACAGATCCCACCCTGTGCAACACAGAACATCGCACCACCCACTCGGTCACATAGGAACCCAGTGCTGCTAGTTTCCCAATCCTCCTTTTCCCCCTCGTAGCGCGTCTGATAATCTCCTTCCCTCCTGCTCCTGAACCTCCCCCCCCCCTCTTCGAGCCTGCAGCTCCGACCCTGCGAACATGCTCTGCGCTCGCGCGCCCGCGCACAACAATGACCAAGTACGTGCATTAGGCCAAGGCTCGCGCTCGCGCCCCTCTCTACCCCTCCCCAGCTACCCTGATGCACACATGTAATAGGCAATATGCTTGAACGCTTCGACTGTCTCGTCGTGCTCGCTTTTGGCAATCTTTGTCAAGTACTCAACTGCAGCATCCACGTGAGAGAAAAAGTCCGACTGGCTTCCAGCATGAGTGTCTTTGATTAGGGCAAGCGGCAGCCGTGCTGCTTTCAAGACTGGGAGCCGGGTTTTCTTGGGTTTGGTTTTGCCGTGCCCATCTGCATCTTTGCATGCTTTCAGTGCTTTCTTTTTGACTTTCGTTATCTTCGCAAGGTGGGCTTTGACTTTTTCCTCCATTTTCAGTTTCAATTTGGCCTGTTTCTTCTCTACCTTCTCCTGCGATTGCTCATCCTTCTCTGTAAACTCCTCCAATGCAGCATTGAGCTTCTCCTCGGTGGCGAACTTGAGGAGCGGTAAGCCCCCTGGCGCAGAGGGCAAACGAGCACAGAGCATTCCATGTCGCATTAAGGGCACTAACCTACGAAATTAGCCGATGGCAGGCATGCTCGTTTCCGATTAACGTATTCCCCGAGCAGACGAGACGACACCAGCTTGGCTAACATGGCGGATACGGAATCAAGTCACAGTAGGCATCACACAGGACAAGACAGGAAGCACACACAAAGATATGTATTGCCATGGCGAGTTGCACACATGCTGCAGCCTCTCTAAACATTAGCCCGATTCTAAAGTGCGAGTTGTTCTCGAAAGTGGGGCTCACAAGAAGGAGAACATATGAGAAAGAGAGGGGTAGGGCCTGGAAGTAGTGGGCACGTTCCCCAAGGCTTCGAAATCCTTGGGAACGCGAGGAGCGCGATCGGGACAACGATCTCCTTCCGCTTGTGCTTCAGGCACTGCGGGCAACAACGGCAAGGCAGCATTGACCCGGCAAGGTAACAAGGTAGAACACAATCGTGTAGTCATGGTGCAGTTCATAAGGCAGCTATGCTTGCTAGTCAACTACTGTCGGTCACGCGCGCATACTATGACGGCTTCCGAGCAGCATGAACAGCCTTCGGTTCAACGTCTTCTGCCCCCCTCACTTCGTTGCTCTCCACCCCCCGCCCTCTACTTGGCCGCTGGCGCGGCGATCCTAGCCAGGTCCTGCCCCCATACCCCCTCGAAGTCCAATAGATCTCTTACCCCCATTGCCACTCATGCTGTCCTCCCTTTTTAATTCCCCAGAGCCTTGTGCCCATGTCTCTCCTTCCCCCTGCGCGTCCCTCCCCCTACGCCCCGCTGCAATGTCACCCCCCATTCTTGACTCGCGGGCGGGGCAGGTGCGCCTTCAGTGAGTTCGATAGTATTTTGAACACCCTCTCGTGAATCGATGAGTCCATCCTCGGAAAATCGACCTCGACCTGGCTCCTGGCGACCAACTCATCCCAGATGGATACGCCGCTGTCTAGGATCACCTGCACCGACTCGCGCCTGAACGTGTGGGTCGTCTCGTACGAGTTGGGCGTCTTGAACCATCCGGGCTTCATGATCTCCCGCGCCCCAGTCACAAGGGCACAGGCGGATAAAGCAAAGACATCCAGCATCAAGCTTGCAAGCATTGCACAACGCTGCAAGGGAGTGCACACACTGCGATAAGCATGTCGGCGGCCATCATGGTCCGCCCATCAAGCCCGCGCAGTTTTCGGGCCCCATGCATTGTGACACGCACGTGGCCAAGTACACAGTCAACAGTTAACTAGGAAGAACAACACGCGCAGCAAGTGCTTACGACAAGGCACCCGCCCACCCCAGCCCACCTCGACATAATCAAACCTCTTCTTGCTGAACTCTTTCTGGCCCAACGACTCCCACGTCCAAGCGCCCTTCCCCTTGCTGTCACGGAAGGCAGTCCATCCAATCTGAACTTGATCCAGCGCTCTCATCTTCTCTATCACGGTGGTGGATGTGAAAACCTCATTCACTTTGTTGCCCATCTCCTTGAGGAAAATGCAGGCGCCCCTGGTAATGGTCTTCAAATATATTTTGCAGTGGGGCCAGCCTGTGGCCATACTCCTCCCCTTGCCCCATCAGGTGCGATATCCCACCCACGTCGTTAACATGATCTCTTTATCGTTCCCTCTCCTCCTCCACCTCTCTCCTGCTCTAGTTGCCACGGCCCACCTCTCCTGCCCCCCACTGTTCTTCTGTCCTTGGCCTCCCCCCCTCCTCTCACCTTCTCCCCTCCTCTCCCTGCTCCCCCTTTCCAGGCCAATTTTCCTCCCAGCCTCTGGCGCGCACCTATCGTCTCACGAGTGCGATTGCAGAGGCGTTGCTGCGTTGCTGTCCCCAGTCCCTCTCTCCCCGCCGTTGAACGTTCTTGTTCTCTTTCTTCTTGTCTGCTACCCAGGCGGCCTTCATGCCCTCCGCCAGCGTGGCACCGTGCAGCGACCAGAAGAAGGCCTGCCCCCGCCCTCGGTCAGATGAATTTGGGCGCAGGGGGAGGAAGCCGCTTCCGATGGGCACAGGACGGCGCCAGCGAGAGCGAGAGCGAGAGCAGGGGGTGAGCAGGGCAGGACGCACTGGGCAGCTAGGAATGGAGCCTCAAAGGGTTGACCATCCCAGGTTGGAGCATGGGCGAGGTCGCATTAAGGAGGGGGCCGAGTGCAAGCATTGCAATCATGACGCATCGTTCGGCAACTTATAGTCTTGTACAGAACACAATGCTGTATCCTGGTGGGTATTCGATCGAGCCGCTGAACTGGACACATTGCGATTATGACAAACGCATGCTCTTGCTAATATTATTGTGACCTGACAGATCGCCCACATAGTGCAAAAGAGACGGCGCGCGCAAGTCTACCCGCAGCAAATGCTGCAAGCGCGCAGGCAACGCGCATCCGCGCGCATATCCGTCAGCACACAGGTTGCAACTTGCATGTTGACACTAATGCTGTCTCCCAACCCCCAGTTCCCAGGAGTCCTCTCTCTTCGGGTCAGGGTCGCGCACCAGCCAGGCGGGGCCCTTGTTCTCCCACAATAAACCAACACTTTCGATAGAATGCTTTCTGGTCTCAATAGATGCCACATCTCCACGGTCATTGCAAGGATGGCGAGCCTACCACCAGCCCTCTCACACATAGGCCGGCACGGCGCGCAGGCGATAGAGATAACATGGAGGGCGTGGAGGTTGGGAGAAAGACAAGGGGCATGGATCAGTGATATGGTAGGGATGGGGATCAGAAAAAGTCATGAGGCATAAGGATAGGGATGCGACGCGCGAGGTGGTGGCGGGCGAGGAAATGCGGAGGGCGAAAAGGAGGGGGGGAAGGAGCGGGACAAGGAGGTTGGTTGGGAGGAGGCGGGAACCATGTACAATGCGATGCCACGCTTGGGTGATGGCGTGGGCATTGGGTAGAGCAACCTCAGCCCATCATTGACCTATTTCTGCAGTCTCATCATCACCCATCCCCTCATCCTCGCCTGATCGCCGCTCCCTTATCCATCCTGGGCACATGCTCAGCGCGCAGCCCACCCCCCGCCCTGCCCTTCCTCCTTCAACCCACCAGCCTGATACATATATCCGACATATCCCTCATCATGGCCATCAGGGGCCAAGGCTTTCGCGCCAGCAGCGAGGTCATACAGGTGGCCCGCTAACCTGGACTAGTGCACCATCAGGCGCCCCCCACCTACCGCCGACACATGAGCCCCTATGTGATCAGAGACCCACCCCCCTCCCCACAATCGTAAACTCGCCCTCATGAAGGAACTGCACGTGCTTGTCTGGGGAGTCCAGGAACTCCTTGTCGACGGCGGCCTGGTACTCTAGCTGGGTGAGCCCCTCGCCGTACCGCTCCTGGGCCACCCGCGCACCATATAAACCCCTGTCACCCCTGTCTCTGGGCACCCTCCCGCGCGGTAACTCTGGTCGCAGCGCCCCCCCCCGCAGCCATCACTAGCCGCGTCGCGGCAGAGGGCACAAACAATGGCCTGCACCTCATAACATGCTACCCTAGCGCATCACTGTACGATGACCAAGCACTTGGCATCCAGGACTGCACAATAGATTGTCACACGTCACGACTGCGGAGCATCAATCCATCACAGATTCAATGCGTATAACGAGCCACACTACAGAGCACAATCATACCAAATAATCAGGGCGAGTTGGAGTTGAACGGCACGCCTGACCGCCCAACGCATCACCGCGCCGAACACCAAACGATGTAACCAGCCCCACGTGCGACAACATAGCGCAAACATTCGACATAACACACGGCCCGTACAGTTTCGGGTTGTGTTCCACCTCAGGTTCCAGACACATGAAAACCAAACTCAAAACACATACCGGTTGCGCTGAATCAAAAAAAAGATGCGAAGGGAAAATAAAAAAGGAAAAAAAAAACGTCGCAATCGTGCGCCGAAAAGAGGCCCTCCATCCATCCAGTTCCATGAGGCCCTATGGCCTCCCTGGGCCCATGGACCCATGTCCATGGGGGGCCTGGGCCCCATGGACCCAGGTCCATGGGGGGGCCCGGGCCTCATGGACCCAGGTCCATGGGGGCCTCGAGCGCAGAAGGCCCCATGGACATGGGTCCATGAGTTCTGGCCCAGCCCGTCGACATGGCGTCATTACGCCCCTGCCCCCCAAGGCCCCATGGACATGGGTCCATGAGGGCCCCAACTGCTGAGAGCGCCATGGACACAGGTCCATGAACCTGGGTCCATGGACCTGGGTCCATGGACCCAGGTCCATGGGCCCAGAACCAGGGGGCCAGGGTCACTGACTTCCAGGCTGAGCCAGCCAACGCCAACCCATGAACCCAGACCTATGGAACCAAGGTTATCGACCCTAGCTCATGGACCAACGTCTGGAGACTTGGGTCCAACTTGGCCACGGCGCCCATGGACCCAGTTCCATGAGCCCCCCGTTGGCTAAGATCCAGAGCAGTGCAGTAGTGCGGACTAGGGCCTGAGCTCATGGACATGGGCCCATGCATGCCGATTATCGGTCTATGGACCTGGGCCCAAGAGCTCTCGCGCCTCGATGTCGAGCGCGCCTGCCGCCACCATCTACGCACGCACAAGGGCGTCAAATATCGCCGCCGCCGCCGCCGACCATGGGCTCGTAACGCGCGTTGCTACAAGCTCAACGAATCAAAACAACTAACCATTTCGCAGCTGGAACGATGTAATGCGCCCCGGCTAGCCCCTGGACCCCGCGCGCCAATATCGCGGGCCGTCTGCGCGCGCGTGGTCGCCAAAATTGTTATGGTGCAGAACGTGTTACTCCCGTGGCCACGCCGAAGGAGTGCGCGTTCGCGCGTGGGGCCAGGGGCGCATATATGTGAAGGTGGCCTGGCGGGCGAGCAACGTGATTCTACCCCCGAGCCCCCTGGCACGTGTCTGCGCGCGCATGCGGGTGCGGGGCGGCCCTTCGCAAGGCTCCTGGACCGTCTCGTACGTTTCGCTCTGCCACTCCCAGATCGCGGGCACGGCGGGCACGATCGCCATGACCCCCGCGGACGGCAGCGACAGGACCTCCCCACAGCCGAAGGGGGGAGAGACAGACAGGATAACGATTGATTCACAGAGATATGGCTGAGAGATAGGGGTAGGGGGAGAGAGAGAGAGAGAACGAGGGAGAGCGACACAGCGAGAGAGCGATCGAGATTAGGAACGCGATCGAGGACAACTAATATCCAACGAGTGAGTGGGGGGGAACAGCAACCTTGAGGCGACTGGAATGGGGAGAGGGTGACGTGGGCAGACCTGCCAGGAGATTGAGAAAGATGAGGCGAGCATCGCCCCATAGGGTGGCGCAAGAGAAAGAGTGAGAGGGACAATGGGATGGCAAAGGGGAGGAGAACAATGTGCAGGCAGAGAGAGAGGGATATCGAGATAAACTGCATATAGGCTGAGCGAGCGAGGGGCATCGATATATATATATATATATATATATATATACATACATATATATATAGACCTACATATATGTATATACGTATGGAGTAGGATCAATACACCGAGGGGGGGGAGTGATGCGAGAGAGGGAGAGGATGCCGAGAGTGACGATGAGGACCTAACGAGTTTTCGAGCAAGGTTGCAGGAGGGGTGGAGACGGAGAACGAGCGAGAGATGGAATTATACCTATCCTCCGACGTACACGATGGGCAGAGAGAAAGATGAACACGTTGTGGCCGACTGTGCTTTTGCTGGATACATGACCAATGGAACGGCGTGGTCACCGTGGCAAGTCAAGGCGGCAACCGATAACGAGCAGGGAGGTCAACAGGTTCAAATGAGGATGGGGGTGGGTGGGTACCAGGAGCGAGGTGGAGGCGAGAGAGTGACAGAGTAGGACACACTGAGAGTGAGAGAGAGAGAGATACAGAGATAGTCGCATACGTGGTACCCTCGTGGTTAGCACACACTTTGCCTACGTGGCTCAAGCTGGCTTACTTAGGGAAGTTGGGCTTTGGACCAATCTGATGGAAAAAACACATCCGCCGATAATGTTGCGGGTGAGGTCGACATGAACACGATGTGCCAGACTTGACCTAAGCTTCAAGTTACGCTGTAGATCAGGCGGGACATTCGACGACGCCGACGTCGCAACGCACGCAGAGGCTAAACGACTGCCTCAGCCGTCGCAGGTGCCACTCCACAACGCCTCAAACCTGATCTTCCTACAACCCTACAATCTTATACTACGCGTGCATGTCTGCATACAGATGGTTCGACAACGGGTGGCAATGCGCCAACTGCCACATCTTAGAAAGCCTTCTGATATACGGCAGCATGCACCAGTACCAAGAGCAGACGAATAACACATTTGGCATGGGGTATCTCAATGTTTTCAGGGCACCACAACACCTCCACCTAACGATGTAGAATACAAGATGCGCGCCAGATAGACCAATGATTAGCACGCGCACCCGCTCGCACATTCGCCCCTGGGCCCTGCGATGCCCTGGCCGGGCCCCTGGCCAAGCCTCCTGACGAATAGCAGGCGGAGCACGTAGCCAAGTGCCTGGACAGGAGCGGGAGGTGGGAAAAAGAACACAACTGCATGGGTGCTGGCATGCGATATCCTGCTGCGCACACGTGGGCACGCATCGTACATTCCATTACTGGGAACATTGATTTCACACATCTCTGGGGGACATGTCCCAGTACGTTCGCTCCTGCAGCACCCCCCCCATGACTTGAGGTTTCTGAACGCACTGTTGCGTCAGTGTTTTACATGGGGGTCATGTTGGAAGGCTCCGAGAAACAGGTCCCGAACGCGTGCGCACTCAAGACAACGCACGAGCTGCAAGAAACACAATCACATCAACGAACACCACACGGAAAACCAAACAACAAGATGCATTCAAACAACTGTCCTGGCAGTGCTGCAACGCCCAGAAAATACAGTTCACGCCCAAGTAGTGGCAAACATTCGCACGATCCCCAACTGGATGGCCACGTGCCACGCGCAATCGGTGCATTAGCTCACTGTCCCCGGTACACATACACGCGTTGCTGCGCCCAGCCCCCTTGAGGGGAGGCACGGCACGAGGACAAACTCTTCCCAGTTCACGCAGCATGGCACACTGGACAAACGAAGTCGTGGAACGCATCATCATTGTCATAGAGTGTCCCCACCCGTCTCGCGCAGCAATTGTGCCAGACCAACAAGCACACCTTGCACCTATAATACAGTACGCCCACATCCGTGTCGTTTGGCGCCTCATGCGGCGATGCCTGGCAGTATGTGCACACCTCGTCTTTGAGTGGTCGCAAGGGCCCCTGGACAAATTGCGTGTTCGCCTTCAGGCGGAGTAGTAGAAGCCAGTCGTCTACACGAGGTCTTTCTGACTTGGCTGTCCTCCCTTGATAGAGGCCGGTGTCGTCCACTATGAAAACCACATGCGGGTGCGGCACCACAGGTTGTAAGAACGGCGCCAACGCGATGATCCTGTTCTTCTCGTCCAAGCGCATTGAGCGCCCCATTCTGGCAGCGACGTCTGTCCAGATCAAGAACAATACCTGCCCGTCTGGTTTCGTGACTAAGCTCACTGTCCCTTTCTGCAGAGGAAGACCTTTCCGAACGGCTGCCAGCTTTTCAGCTTCTTCAATCTGCACAACACTGGCTCGCGCCCGCCTCTTGAGGACGTCGATGACCAGTGCGATGGCCGCCTCGCCGAGCGGGGTCCCAGGCGCGGGCGCGCCGCCGTCCACGCCATCATCGTCCATGGGGTCGCCCTGGTCGTCGCGGTAGATCGGGTCAGGGTCGCCACCGCCCGCTACATCATCGGCAGCGTCTGGGGCGTGGTCCTCCTTTTTCTCCTCCTCGGGGTCCTGGCCGTCCAGGTCGAGGTCGCAATCCTCTGGGTGGGCGGCAAGGTCGGCGTACTCGTCCCCGTCGTATTCGCCATGGGCTTCGAAGATCTCGCCCAACGCCTCACCCATGATGTCGCGTTCCTCCTCGTCTGAGTCGGAGCCCCCGCCTGCGTCGCGCACGACGCGCTTGTCCTTCTTTTTGGCCTTAGCCCTCCGCGGCGCAATGCCCTGATCCTCCTCGCCCTCATCGCCGTACTTCGCGCGGTGCAAGCCCTCCCACAGCAGCTTGCCGTGCCGCAGCCGCATCTCGCCCAGGCCGCCGCCTCTGCCCCGCCCTTCCCCGTCGGCCCCCCCGCCGTCGGCGGCGATGGCGGCGCCCCTGAACTCCGCCACGTAGTCGACGAGGGGCATCAGCGTGATGGGGCTGTCCAGGCTGAACCGCACCTCTGCCCCGTGCCTCTGCAGACTGCCCGTCGCCACTGTGACGGCGCTTCGGTAGGGCCAGCACATGAGGAACGCGGGCCTGGCCCCTGCCCCTGGGGGGCTCAGCGTGAACGCCCTGTCCTGGAAGGCAGGTCTCAGCTCGGCCATGGGAAGGGCGAATCTGGCCGCGATGGCATGGGCGCGCAGGTAGCGCGCGCCTCCTGTGCGCTGCCCGCCGCGCGGCCGCGGCCTCTGCCGCCCTGGCGCCTGCGCCCGCCGCAGCTGGCGGCCCCTCCAGCGGCGGGGGCGCGGCTGCGTCGCCCCCCGCCGCCGCGGGGCCCGCGCCCGCAAGCGGCTCAGGTTCGAACCTCCCTTGGTAGGCGGGCGCGGCCATGAAGTCGAGGACGGCGGCGTGCGCGTCCACGCAGTCCTGCGGCGAGATGGGCGTCCCGAGCTTGATGCGCAGCCTGTCTGACGCCAGCGGGATGTGCAGGTTCGGCGCGGCGTTCGCCATCCGTTGAAGCACTGAGTTGGCGCCTTCCACGTCTTGGGTGTCGTGGGGCAGCTGGTGCCTCCACGCCAGGAGCCACATGTAAAGCTCGGGCTGGCAAGAGCCGTCGTCCGCCATCTCCTGCCAGGCGCCCAGGAATTTCCCCCTGATCTTGAAGGCCACGTCGCTGCTGGAGGGGCGCAACTCCATCTCGTCTGCGCGAAGGAGCCGCTGCGCGATCACCGCCCTGTTCTCGTCGAGCTGGTCCTGCGGGGCAGAGAGGACTCTCAGGAGGATCAGCGGGAAGCTCTCGGTCTTCCTCAGGACCCGCGCCTGCCACCCAGCCATCGCGCGGAGGACGAGGCTGACGATCAGCAGAAAGGCGTCTGGAAACTTGTCCTCTGGGAGCACGTGCCAGACATCGCACCAGACCCCCAAGTCGGCCCCGCGCGCCAGCAGCGCTTCCAGCTCGCACATGGTCTCGAGGCCATGTCTGCAGACGAGGAGAGACAGCGGCGTCGGGCCCAAGTAGGCGTCTGGGGCGGCCGTCGACTTCAGCAGCTCGTGCTCCTTCTTCCTTTTTTGCGCCCACCACAAATATTTGGTCAGCGGCTGCTTGGCGAGCAGCGAGATTGCGACGGTCGCCCGCCACAGCGCGCTACTGGTGCAAAGCACTGCCGTCCTCCTGTAATTCTTCTGCTGCTTGCGGAACGCCCTGTCCTCGTCGTCGCCTGGCTTCGGGCGCTTCCTGGGCCTCTCGGGCGCGTCCTCGGCGCCAGCGCCTGGATCGTCGCCGCCCATGAAGACCCCGAACGCCCGAGCGAACACGGGGCCGACGTATGCGCCCGCCATCTTCAGCTTCTCCTCGATCGACGAGATAGTGCCCCAGCGGCCTCGGAGGGGTTTGCCAGGCACTTTTGTAAAGTGTTGGGCTGCGATCTCAGGGGCCTCTGGATATTCGTCCAAGGCTGCCTGCAGCAGGCGCGCAGGTGTCCCAGTGCTTCTCCAAACGTTTGCAACCGTTGCGACGGTGGGCCAGTATCTGCGGTCTTCGTCGAGCGGACCCCACTGCCACAGCTCCATCAGGTCGAGGCAGTCTTTGATGATGAGGTGCAGCTGGTGGCACATGCAGAAGACAGCTTGGAACGCAACAAACTGGCAATCGTAGATGTCCTCTGAAATCCTGCGCAACATGCCAACGTTGTCGGGCCCTGCGTCCACTCCGAAAGTGTACAAGGTCATGCGGGGCCTCTCCCCACCAGGTCTCGCAGCAGCGTCTTGCCACTTCGGGGCGCCGACGGAGTCCAAATGCTGCCCGACGTGGTTGTACGTCTCTTGCCCAGACCCCGTCGTGCATTTGAGTAGGTCCGCCGCCGTGACCAACACGTCAACATGCGGGGCCGCCCCGCCCTCCGTGATCGGCAGGCAGTCTGGCCGAAGAGCTTCGCTGATGCAGCACTTGGCACTGTGGACCACAGCCACGTGGACTTTTGCTTTCTGGATCGCTTCCTGGTTCGTTGCGTCGCACTTCACCAGCTGGAACTCGAACATGGCGTCTGGGGGAACGCGGTCATCAACTCGATTGAACTGGTGCGCCCGCAGTGTCTTTGCTGCTGCAAGTTTGTGTTCGTATGAGAAGACCGGCCCCGCACTTGTTATGGACAAGGGCTCATCGATTCCAGTTAGCATTTTCACCGTGGCAAGCCCCCCTGCGTGGGCCACGTTCCGCCGCGCTGCCAATGTATATCCCCCGATCACTGATGCGTGCCTGCCTTGGCGGAAGCTTGTCCTGGCAACCAAAGCCCCGTATTCTTCCGAAAGTAGATCAAATTGTTGCTTGTGCCTCTCTGCGCGACACGTCTGGACAGCACGTTGCCGAGTGATCCTTTGGATGTCTGCTTTCAGCGCCGCAATGGTGGCGTCTTTGCTCTCCAACAGGGAAACTAGGACATCTCTGTCAAGTTGGGTATAGTCCGCCTTGGGCGCAACTTCCGCGTCAAGGCCCACTGCGGGGACAATTGCGCCACTGCTGCTGCTGGCCCCACCAACCGCCAATGGTGTTGGAGGCATGTTCTGTCTGGTATATCTCCTGGCGGCAGGGCGCGGCGCTGGCGGCGGGCCCATCATTCGGTATATATCGTCCATGTCTTCTCTGCTGTATGGCGACCCAGTGAAGTGAGCTAAAACGTCTGGTAAAAGATCCACGTCAAATGAAGTATCACTCATGCGCAAGTTGCCAGCGTCGGCCCTTCCCGCAACAAGCGTGGATAAGTGTTTCCGGATGTTGTCGCGCAGCCCGTGCCGCGATAGAGGCCCTCTCTCGTCGGGTGTGTGCCCGAGTAATCTTAATATGAGGTCGCACACTTTGAACATTCTGATTTGTCCTGCATATATCTCAGTAGCCATGCGGTTGTCAAGGAAGAACTGGGCAATGTCATTCTTCCTCGCCACCAGGGACATAACCTGGGGGCATGCAATGTACATTGATGTATCTGCACTGCTAATACTTAACTTAATAACTTAAAACTTATTATATGAAACAACGCAAGATAACATATGATAATTAATGCACGTTGCATTCAACATAACCTAACAAGAAGCAATAGTACAGGACCCTTGTGTATCTAACGCTCTCGCCACAGTATTCGGAACGGGTCTCGCAAGTCAAGGTGGATGGGCCGACCCGCTTGACGCGGTGCTTCGCGCCCTGGTCTGATCAGAATACGCATTATTCAGATGTCAAGTTGCCGAGGCGACTGTCTCTTAGATTGCCCAGGGTGGTCCGAGGGATCCGATGTCACGAGGGATGGCGCCCGAACATCACGCGTGTCCTGTCTGCCCCTCTGCCCTGCCCTGGACCCTGACCCGCCCGTGGCCCGTAGCGCGAGGAACCTAAGTCGAAGAACTCGGAGCCCAAGGTGAAGATGATGTACGACGCGGCCTGCTGCAGCAGGACCTCCCATGCCCCGCGCACCCCCTCGCTGCGAGGCAGGGGCGAGGGAAGAAGAGGGAGGAGGAGGGAGAGAGTGCAGGGCGGGATGGAGGGAAGCCGCGGTGCGTGAGAGCACGGGTGGCGCAGGAGAACCAAACGGGGAAGTGAGGAGGAAGGGATTGCAGAGCCGACTGCTTCGATTGAGCGCGAGCGAAACATTGACGAGCGGGTAGCCTCTTCTGGTCGTTATCGTCCTGTGTCGCCCCCCTTCCATCCCTCCTCGCCCTCGGTCCTCCGCCTACGGTTTCTTGTCGCCCATCTTCCTCTACCTCCCCCCCTCTTCTCCTCGTCCGTTGCTGCATTGTGCTCGCGACCCCCCTGTCCCGAATCGCCTTCGCTTGAATAGAAGTGGCGCAGGGCGCCAGTATCCCAATATATGATAATTGTTCAGCTGCAGCAACGACTGCGGGGGCGCCGGCGCGAGGCTCTGGGCAGCGGGGTCCTGGCGGCGGCGCGTCGCTGACATCTTGGCACCAGGCTTAGATTGAATGGCCGACAAAGCGAGGTAAAGACGCGGTGCCTCTTCCCTCCCTTTCCTCTCCTCCATCCCCCCCTTCTCTTCGGCCATCATCCTCACTCCAGTTTCCCATATCGTTGTCTGCCGGTTCCCTCCTCCCCTCCTCCCTGCCACATCCCTCTTTCCTCCTGGGCTGCCCGGAACGCGCTGGCGCCGCCCGACGAAGGCCGCGCCGAACGTGGGAAAGCAGCAGCGGCGGCAACTCCGAATACCACCCACGACACGACAATACACTTCAAGGGAATGTGGAATATCATCAAACGCCGACGCGGTCTGAGGGGCCTTGGATGCGATCGCACACGCGAAGAGGTGCAGTAGAGCGACAACAGGTGGATGAGAGCGGGGAACCACATCACATCACATCAGCTGCAGCTAGAGTGCGTGGGAAGGGTCGCCCCACATCCCCGCGCGCGCGGGCCATTTACGCACGCGAGTGATGGACAACCAATATATGATATAAGGTTCACGCTGCAGCAACGACAGCGGGGGCGCAATGGCGCTCTGGCCCCGGCGCTCACAAATTGAGCGCGCGCAATCTTGAAATCACGCCAGGGCCATCCATGTTTTCTTTCTGTCTTCCTTTTTCTCTCTCTCTCTCTCTGTCTCTCTCTCTCTCTCTCTCTCTCTCTCTCTCTTCGTATTATTTCTCTCCCTCTCTTTCTCTCCCTCTCTCCCTATATAGATATTGGTATATGTCTGCATCCCTCTACGTATGAACCTTCAGATGTAGACCCCTCCTTCTTCTTCAATTCACCTCTGCTTAATCCTTTATTCTGGCACTCTAAATCCTTCTTCCCACCCTTTCCCCTCCTTACCCTCCTCCCCCTCCGTCTGCCCCTGCTGTCTACCTCTAACCGCTTCCCTTTTCCTTGTCAGGATGAAGGAAAATGGTTAGAGGGCTCGCGCCCCTACCTCGACTCTCCCCCCTCACCCACTACCACTTTCATCATGGCCCCTCATCATGGCCCCTGGCAGAAAGGTGGAGCCCGAGCTCGGAGCTCAGGGCGCCTGGGCAGGCAGCGCAGCGATGGACCAACAACCGCGCCTCTGCTAAAGCGAATTCGCAGCCGACTCGCAGCTCTACAGGCAGGGCAGGATTGCTTGGACATCCACAACACCCCGCGCGTCCTGCGCAATGGCCCGTACCTTGCTGACTTGCCCACTTCATCTGCTTTGTTTAAATACCGGAGTGTGGGTTTTAGCACGATTATCCTCCTCCCCCCTCCTCGCCTGCCCCCCCCCCGCAGATTTTCCCGCCGCCCTGCCAATGCCCATGCTATGCTGCGCAATCCTCTCCATTGAACCTGTTTGACCTCTGCCCCTGCCCAGTGGGCCCCAGGACCCTGCGGCCCCTCGTAATCCGCCCCTTGGACCCGTCACGCGGCCGCAGCTGTGGTAGCCATGTCAATGCACACTGCGATGCTGAAGGTTGGGAACCATCTGCAGCCCATTGTAGACCTCCTCATCATCATTCTCATCATCATCATCATCATCATCATCATCATCATCATCATCATAGTCATCATCCTATTCCTCATCCTCCTCCTCCTCCTCCTGGTCCTCCCCCCCCTCCCCCCCCTTTCCTCATCATGTCGGCCTCTCGCTCTATCTGACAATCCTGCGCGCGCTCTGGTCCCGCAACCCTGAACGCACGAGCGGCGATCGGCGATCGGCATAGCTGGCACAGCCTCTTAGGCTTGCTCAACGAAGGCCACACCCATCAATTGGGTGTGGGATGGCCCTGCAGTTGGCACCCAAGTGCCGTGCAGGGTGGTCGCAGCATCAAAAATGAAGGTCTTCGACCCTCGCAAGCAGTAGGCCCGACCGTCTACCTGGAACCAAGCAGCTACTTTCTTGGAAAGGCGGCGCAGGCCTTGCGTGAAGGTGAGGATCGTCAAGCTCTGGTCGGCCTTGTCCTCCCCTCGTTCGCCCACTTCCCACTCTTGCCCCCCGAGCTATCGAATTAGACTGGAGCTCGACTGACCTGCGCCCCGAACCCCTGAGACTCCGGATCTCACAGCATCATTTCCATGCCTTCTGTGCATCATTCTCGTTTGGATATTTCTGGACTGCGCTACTTAAGCGTGTGTTGTTCCGACCCACGTTGTCTCTGCATATGCTCATCCATCTACATCATAGTCGTTCCCTCTCTCTCTCTTGTTCTCGTGTTACATATTTCTATCTCTTTGTGTCTCTCTCTCTCTCTCTCACTCTCGCACGTTATTTCTTATGTGTTGTTTCTCTCTCTCTCTCTCTGCATGGTTATCTGCCTCTCTCTCTCATGCTTTCCCTCTTGCTTCGCTTACCACATCTCCTCTTCCACCCCTCTCCCCAACATGTCGCATATCATCGTCCCATTGCACCTCCGCGCCCCCATCCTCGCATATCCACCTCCTTCCCTCCTGTCGGCTCCTGCCCTGCCCAGTCCGTCGCCCCCCGCCGCTCCCTATGGAGGACGCAGTGCTCGCAGTGCTCGCAGCTGCCGAGGGTGCACTCCTCAGCGCGCAGGCGCTTGGGCGGGGCGGGGCAGCAGCATCCCAGCCAAGGAAGGATGTCGCGACATGCGTGGCGGATGCTCGCATGCTCGCAGCAAGCACGAGTGAATGAGACGAGGATGGACCAGGGCCAGCGCCCTTTCTCCTCCCTCCTCCTCATCATCCTCCCTCCCTCCTGCCCCATCGCTGCTGCCTCCCAACCTCCTCCTTCTCGTCTCTCCTTTGTTCTCGCCCCATCACTTCTCCCATCTTCCCGCCTTCCCCTCCATTCCTCCGCCCTCCAACCTTCGTCCTTCCCTCCCACTCCCTCACCCCTCCCTTCGGAGCCTCCGAACGATCGAACCAAAAGCGAGAAAAGGCTAGCAGGCTGGGGCGGCTTCGGTCCTCGCACTCCCCCTCGCAGCACGCAGTCATGCCCAGCGCGCTGGCGATGGGCGGCGGCGGCGGGTGCTGGCCGAATTCCTTCGGCCACAGCTTGGCCGAGTGGTAGTCGAAGCCGACGTAGCAGTTGCGGCGCACCCTTGTCGGGGCGAGCGCTCGCGCTGCTCTCACCCGCACTACCTCCCCGTATCAATGCAACAGTGCTACTGCGAATATGTCTGCAGTCGTCTCTGGCACGTAAATGGCCCTACGGCCTTCTGGCCCCAGGGTTACTGAGACGGCTGTTCTAATGCTGAGTTGACTTGCCTTGCCCCCGACAATTTTTTTTCGCCCCAGCCCCTCGCACCTCTGCTCCACGTCGGCGTGGCCAGGCCGGCCTGCGACGCGGACCACGGCGGGCCCCGTCGGCAGGATCGCGACGGCCATGACGTCTTGAGGGGGCGCGCTCAGGGCGAACCGAGGGATGTCCTGATGCTACTGCTGCATTACCATCCCTTTCAGCCTGGGCCATCCACGGAGAGGAGGTTGAACGGCAACAGGCGAACGGAAGGGAGGATGGGGGAGGGAGCGAGGTGGTAGAAGGAGGGGGTAGGGGGCAGAAGGAAGGGAGGAGGAACAGCAGGAGGGAACAGGGTGGTAAAAGGAAAACTGACCAGGGGGGGGGCGCATGAGGAACGGTGGCAACGTCGGACCGTCGAGAGGCAGTGCTGACGTCTTGCCAGGAGCCACTTAGGCTGTGTCTGCGCGAAACGGAAGGACGCGAGGGGCCTGAGTGAGGAGAGAGGGAGAGAGGGAGAGGGAGAGGAAGAGAGAGAGAGAGAGGGAGGGTGAAAGAGAGAGAGAGAGGGGGAAGGAGAGGGAGAGGGAAATGGGGAGAACGAGGGAGCAAGAGACAGAGAGAGCGAGAGAGAGAGGGAGACAGAGCGAGAGACAGAGAGAGACTGAGAGAAAGAGAACGAGAGAGAGGGCGGAAAGGGGGAGGGGTAGAGGGGGGGGGAGTGGGTGGGAGGGGGAGGCAAAGTAGCAGAGCGGCTCCTCCTCATCCTTCCTTATCCCCCTTACTTCATGCCTCCTTCTCCTTTCCCCTCCTAATGTCTCCCCCGCTCCATGTCCCTCTCCTTATTCCCAGTGTACTTATATGTTTGTTGTGTAGATCCATATCTCTCTACGTATACGTATATACATATCATGTTCTAGTTTGTTTTACCTATATGCACATATATGCACGTGCGTCTGTATATACATAATTACAGATAAATGAGCTCAGCCAACCACTTGTGTGCATGTGCATCTGTAGGTATAAACACGGCTGGTGTACGTATACTTGATCGTGCCTCTTAGTTGCATGTATCTGTACAGTTGCATACATATGTATATAAATATATGTGTATATGTATGCATACGTAAGTGCGTTCGCCCTTCGATATGAATGCATGCGCAAATAGTCGCATATACACAAACCTATACGTTTGTGTGAATGTATATACCGATACATATGGATGCTTGTGTGTCATACAATTTCATGATGCCCCTTTTCTCGTTGCAGTCCTTCGCATTCGCAATCCACGGCATTTTGACGCAGCGGTCGAAGGCGCCAGCGACGGGGGTCTCCAGCAGGAGCTTCAGGACGTGGTTCGCGAACGGGGCCTTCTCCTGAAGAGGCGGGGGGGGGGAAGTTGGGTGCATGCATGCGGTTGCCGCGACTGGCCTGCCCAAGGGAGATGCGACGGACTTGTAAAGAAGGAGGCAAGTGCGAAGAGAAATAGAAATAAGGACTGCACGCGACAAAGTAGGGGTGAGTGGTGGATCACGTAGGGGAGGGAGGGGAGGTTGAAAGCGAGCAGAGATGGGGTGCCAAGACGTGTCGGCGCACCCCACCTGGAACCCAAGTCTCCTTGGACTGTTGGTAGTGGGTGCCGAACCGGGTCATGCCGATGCCGACGAGAGTGCCTGGCTCAACGATGGGCGGCAGTGGATGGGAGGGGGGCGTAAACAGGTCGAGGTAAATGGCGGAGGTCGGCAGCGAAAGCGGGCGAGCGGCGATGGGCCGACGAGTGGGGATAGCGGAAAGGGAGTGGTGATGAGATGTAAAGAGATGGGCGCAGTGGAGAGAGGCAGATGACAGGGTTCAGGCACTTCTTCCCCCCTCATTGACGTTTCGGCGCGGCGTCCCAAGCGAATGCGGCCTCCATGCTCCCAGCGGCACAACGCGCCCAGGGGGCGGTCAGTCTCGCGCTGGGTGGACTCCATGAGGGACATCACCGCCTTCCTGGCATGACTCATTAGACGGGGAATCTGAGCAGAGCCCCGACTCGGGATGGTGGGGGGGAGGGGGGAGGGTGAGGGGGAGCATCAGGCAGAGGAGAGGGAACGATAAATCAGGAGAGGCTCAGGAGAGGGAATGAAGGCCTTTGCCAGGGACCCCCGAAGGAGAGGGCGACAGAGAGGCGGAGAGCCAGCGGATCCAGGTTTCTCTCGCGAAGACGACGGCGATGCGGGCAGGGCCAGCGGAGCGGAGCTCTAAGGAGAGGAAAGGAAACCAAAGGATGGATGGCGGAAAGGGGCCTCATCCTTATCTCCTCACCGTCGTCCTCAGCCTCATCCTCATCCGCATCGTTTACTCGGCGCGGTTTGTCCCTGGGCCTGCAAAGCGAAACGAAGATCTTTAAATCTTGTCCGTTACCTATGTCAGCCGATCTGCACGTTTCATTTGGCTGGAGCGGTGGAGCGGCGCTCGCATCGACAGCCCGCATCATCATCATCATCATCATCATCATCATCATCATCATCATCATCATCAGCATCAGCATCAGCATCAGCATCAGCATCAGCATCAGCATCATCATCACCATCACCATCACCATCACCATCACCATCACCATCACCATCATCATCATCATCAGCATCATCATCATCATCATCATCATCATCATCATCATCCGCATCATCATCCGCATCATCATCATTATCCTCAGCATCATCACCAGCATCAACATCATCAGCATCAGCATCATCATAATCGTCACCTTCATCGTCATCATCATCATTATCATCAGCATCAACATCATCAGCATCAGTATCATCAGCATCAGCGGCATCATCATCATCATCACCACCATCATCGTCATCGTCATCAGCATCAGCATCAGCAGCAGCATCAGCATCAGCATCAGTATCATCATCCCTCCCCATCCCTGCACCATCTTCTCTCTGTCATCTAACTTCCCTCCCCCCCGCCCCTCCCTGGCTCCTCAGGCCAGTCGGGCCAGTGAGCGCCTTGGTCACCTCGGGGCTGGACCAGCCAGCCCAGTGGCTGTGCGTGCGGCGGTCCTGAAGCGGGGCGTCTTTCTGGGGCGGTTGAATTCTGGGAGCCTTGACGGGCTCGAGAGAGGCGGGGCGGTGGGGGGCCCGAGGGGGCGAGCCAGGCGAGAAGTTGAAGATGAGATGCGCGAGATGCGTGCCCGAGCGAAAAGGCGATCAACTCAAGTGGGAGCGACTGCTAGCGCGAGCCCAGCGAGCCCCTCAAAACTCTCGGCCTGATATCAGCCCGCCTCTCAGACTCATCGACGATCGAGTCCGAATCGAGTCAGTCTCTCTCACGCTCTCTCTCTCTCTCTCTTTCTCTCTCTCTCTCTCTCTTCATCTCTCTCTCCCTCTCTTTCGCTCTTTCTCTCCCTATCTCTCTACCTGCTACGCCTTATTATAAATTTCCCTCTCAGTCTCTTTCTCTCTTTCTCTCTCTGACTCTCTCTCTCTCTCTCTCTCTCTCTCTCCCCTGCCTCTGTCTCTCTCTCTCTCTATCTCTCCCTCTCCTTCTGTCTCTCTCTCTCTCTCTCTCTGTCTGTCTCTCCCTCCCTCTCTCATTATAGCTCATCTTCCCCTCTTGCCGCCTCCCCCCTGTTTCTTGGCTACCCTGCAATCCTCGGGGTCGCAGGCGACGCCGAACGTCTCGGGGCCCATGATGACGTAGCCCTGAGCGCAGGTGCAGTTGTAGGCTTCAGACTCCCACTTCGACACCTTGCACACGTCGCAGGAAGCAGTCCTGCCCTCCGCATCCCCTCCTCTTCTCCTCTCACCTTTCCACCCTCATCCTCTCAGTGCCCCGTATCCTTAGCGCGAGTGTTCCTCATTCCTCATTCATCCACCACTAATCCGCCACGGTGCCCCTGGCGCGTTAAGCCGTGGGAGAATGACAAGGGCTGTCTGGTGTGGGTTGTTGGAACCCCCGGAGCCCCCCTTCATGCATCGCCGCATCGCTCCTCCTTCCTTCTGCAGACCCCCAGCTTGGTAGCTAATGCATGACCCCCTCTTCCATGCGTGCCCGCTCGAGGATGGTGCACTTTCCGCGCGGCAGCTAATGCCTGAACCCCCATTCCACACGCGCCCACTCGAGGATGGTGCACTGGCACTTCCCACATGGCAGCTGGCAGCCAATGCCTGAACTAACCTCCCATGCGCGAGCTCGAAGATTGTGCGCCACTTTCCGCGTGGCTGCGAACTCCTAGACTTTATTCCCGCGCGCGCCCGCTCGAGGATCGTGCACTCCTTGCATTCCTGGGCGATGCCCCCACTCGCTCCAGGGCATCCCGAGCCACGATACTTGCCGAAAAACGATGGATGTATGCCCGGAGCTTCCAAAACGGCCCGCGCAGGCAACAGAGGACACCAAGATTGCCCGACACTCCTCAAAGACTTCCCGAGATGGCCCCAAAGCGGCCGATCATTGGTTCAATGCGGCCTAAGATGCCTCCAAGAGGGCCCAAACTTGCCGCGCGAGGACCTCCAACAGGGTTCGAAGAAGCCAAATCATTGATTCCCCATGGGTTTGGGGATGATCTTGGCATCCTCGCCTTTCCAGGCTGCCGTCAGTCCAGGAGGACTCCGCAATGGCCCAAGGGGCATCCAAAACGGCCTCAAGACGGCTCCAAGAGGGCCTCCCGCGGGGCCTAAGTTGACCTCAGAAGACCTTTCGACGGCCCAAGACGGCGCAAAGACGGCCCCACGACACGACAGCCCCAAGGCACGCCCCATACGACCAAGAGAGCCCCAAGTCGGCGCAAGAGGGCCCAAGTCGGCTTGGCGGGGGCCCAAGACGGCCCAAGAGGGCCCCCAAAGAACCCCAGGACTATCTCACAGGAGGCCGAGAAAGCCCCAAGCTAGCCCCAGACGAGTTGCATCATCATCATCATCAGCAGCAGCAGCATCATTATCATCACCACCATCATCATCATCATCATCATCATCATCGTCATCACCAACAGCATCATCATAACCATCATCATCAGCAGCATCAGCATCAGCACCAGCATCATCACAAACAGCAGCACCAGCATCGCCATCAGCATCAACATCACCACCACCATAATCAGCATCATCACCACCATCACCACCATCATCACCATCATCAGTTTCATCATCGGCATCATTATCATCAGCAGCATCAGCATCATCATCGTCATCGTCATGATCATGGTGAGCAGCATAACCATCACCGTCAGCAGCATCATCAGCACCACCATCATCGTCATCATCATCATCATCATCCCCACCATCATCATCAGCATCGGCATCATCACCAACGTCATCGTCATCACCGTCGTCGTCATCATCGTCATCATCGTCATCGCCATCAGCATCATCAGCATCATCACAACCGTCATCACCCTCAGCATCACCATAAACACCATCACCATCGTCAGAATCATCGTCATCACCCTTTTCATCCTCATTATCCTCATCATCCTCACCATGGCTCACGGTGTTGCAACCCCCCGTGCCCCCTCGAACAGTCGCCGCCCAGAATGCTGGGATAGTCGGCGGAGGAGTCGGTTGAAGAGTTGGGAGTGATAGGGAGAGGTCACGGGGATAAGTACGATGCGAAGAATTCCGATGAGGAGGAGCGGAGGGCGACCAGCAAACCTAGCATGAGCATCAGGACGAAGATAATGAGGAGGAGGAGGAGGAAAATAACGCCCGCCCGCCCCCGCCCGTCCTGCGGGCAGGGCCGCCGGAGCCGGCCGATCCAGAACTAACACGACCCTTCTTGCGAGGAGGCTGCGGCGGCAACCCATGCGGCCGCGGCCGCCCCCCAGGCGTCCCAGGGGCTGGTGGCGGCGGCGGCGGCGCAGGAGGACCGTGGTTTTGGTCCTCCTGCGACGAGTCGGTCACGTACACCACGGGGTCCGCGATGGACTCCGACCCTTGGGACCCCTGGGAGGCCATTTGGCAGGAGTTCGAAACCCGAGGAGGCGACCCAGGGGCCAGCGCACGGGGGGCGGAGGGGAAGCGAAAGGGAACGGAGGGAGAAGAGAAGGCGAAGGGATGGGGTGGACTGGGATGGATGGAGGGTTGGTTGAGAAGAGAGGAAGTGAAGGGGGGAGGTAAAAGCCCCTGAGCCGATTCCTCGGACCTCTTGGCCCTGGGCCAGGGAGGGGAGGAGAGGAGTGGAGCCCAAACGGCTGCAGGCCTCCTCTAATCCGGCTTCCTCGTCATCCTGACCTCCTTCTTCTCGACCTCTTTCTGCCCCGCATCCTGCTCCTCGTCATGCCCCCTTCTCGCCACTTCCCACCTCCCCGCCCTCTTCTATGCAGTGCCATTGCCGCCCACGTTGCCCTTCCCCGCGTTCCTCGTCGTGAGCTGTCGTCATCCTCCTTGCTCTCCTGATGTGTGTTATTATTCCCTCACCTACATAATCATAATGTCTTGGCCCTCTCTCACCACTCCCACTCATACTCTTCACAATTTTCCTTTCCCCTCTTTGCCCTTCTTTCCGTGACCCCCCCCCCGCACCACCACTCCCCGCGCCGCGACGCGCGACGCGCTCGGCGCTCCTGGACCCGCCAGGGGCCGCGCTGCAAATATTGCTGCGCAGCCCTAGGGCCTTGCTTTGATGTCCCCTACCCCCTTCTAAGTGAAGTCGCCTTCCTGCCAATCCACCCCACCCTCCTGTGTTTTGCTACCCCCGTTGCCGGTTGTCCCGTAAAAGACCAGGAAGGCGATCTCCACTCGAAGGGGGCATGGGGAGATCCAAACAAGGTTGCCCCGCCCCCCCGGCCAAAAGCCTTGACGAAGAAGGGGGGAGGGGGGGCAGGAATGGGGGAGACGGCGGGACGCAGGGGCGCAGAGAGGATAGGAGGGAAGGGAACGGGAAAGCGAGAGAGAAACAAGAGAAGGGGAGGAAGGGAGTGGGAAAGGAGGGGGAGCGGGAACGGAGTGGCAATGTGGTAAGGAAAGGGAGGTCGAATGTTTTTTTTTTATCATGGTTGTCCAGGGCGTTCGAAAATCGCGGGGATCGGAGGGCTGGCTGGTGTAACAACAGTCGGTTACAGATACCCCCCCCCAACTTTGCCCATCCAACCTGGGATCTTGACTTTCATGAACATTGCACTGGGTTTCATGACAATTGCAACGTCCAGATCCGCTCCTCATGAACTCCTCACTCAATCGGTGCTTGGGGGGCGGGCTAACAAGACCGAAGGGAAGTGCTCGACTGAGCGTATCCAGACCAAGCAAAAGCGATGTCTTTCAGCCCCAGACCCGGCAGCCTACGACGGCAACAACTGCACAAGCCTCAGAGCACTTTGCATGGACTGACCAGGGCAAGAAACTACAACAGACAAAGCGGTCCAGCTACTCAAAACGCGCGAAGCGCTATACATACGAAGTGGTCAAGACCACTGTGAGGCCCTCTGTCGTTGTCAGCTCATGATTTTGGGCCTTGCCCATCTGTCCCAGTCGTGCCAATATACTCTCGGTGTAGACGTGGGGCCAATCGAAAAGCTCCTTGATGCTGTTTGGTCCATTTGGCCTCTGGCGTTGATCAATCGAGTCAGCACTACTGCCACGGCCACGCATCTTTATTCTGCGACGTTTCACTGAAGGGCCGATCTCATCTTCCACATCTCTCTCCAACATAAATTTACCGAGTGAAATGATGCAGTGTCTGGGTGCAAAAAATAACCGAAGCGATATCTGGCGCTTCTTGGTGACAAACAGCTACGGACAATTGAAACAAGTATACGAAGTCCCAAGAAGGCTCCAAGATGGCCCTCCGGAGGTCCCAAGCGGGCCTCAGAACCAGCGGTCTGATACAGCATGTTTGCGGGCCTTGTTGGGGCTCTCTTGGGGCTTCATGTGGCCCTCTTGGGTCCTTCTTGAGCCCTTTGGAGGCCTCTTGGGGCTCTCTTGTGCCCCCGCGGGACATTCTTGGTGGCGCCATTGTGGCTCTCTTTGGGGTCCCCTGGGAGGCTTTTGTTCCTCATCTGGGTCTCGCTGGTTTGTTAGGCTTCCTGTCGAGAAGGCGGTTGGCCCGAGCCCCAAGCAGTGTTCAGAGTCGGCGGGGCTGATTCGCGCACAGCTTGAGAGAGAGATGACTAAGACAACAATTCAGGTGGAAGCTCCCATTTACCACGCGGAGTGCCTGGCACCCTCGAGGTAAGCGCTTCGGCGAGCTGTGCACCTTGGAATTTCGCAAGACGCTTGCACCACTGGGATTCCGCAAGACGCTTGCACCACTGGAATGCCGAAGCCCCAAGAGGGCCCCAAGTGGACCCCAGGAAGGCCCCAAAGGTGCTGTATCAAACCGTGGTTTAGATACAGCACCTCTGCGGCCTTCTTCGGGCCCTTCTGGGCCTCCAGGGGCTGCGGAATTACAATTGTGCAAGCGTCTTGCGGAATTCCAGTGGTGCAGGCGTCTTGCGGAATTCCAGTGATGTACAGTTCGCCGAAGCGCTACTCTCGTGGGTCTTCCAGGGGGCCATTCATGTTGGATCCCTCCTGGGCTTCGTTTAAATTGTGCGTGGCCCCAAAAAGGGCACAAGTGGACCCCAAGTGGCTTGGGGCCCTCCTGAAGCCCTCGTAGGGCCCCGAGGGGCCCCAAGAGGGGCCCGAAAGTGTTGCAAGAGGGCCTTGACGAAGAAACGGTGCCTCCAGAGGCGTGGGCCCACATCGCACCACACAGGGCTTCATTCAGACATCAAATCATGTAAGAACCTCGCATAACATAACATGTGACAACACAGGGTGCTACAACGTAGCGTACATGGCAGTGCACGGTTGCGGCAGCACTGCATATTGCATATGATATCGTAACATATCGCCACAACATTGCATAGTGCTCCATGTCGCATCACAGCATAGCCCAGCATAGCCCGTCACAACATCGCAAAGCTTGACACACTGTTAACTACACAGAGAACCCTAAAGGGTGTGATTCGCATGAGCGGCATTGCCATAGCTAGGTGACCTAGCTATGGCAATGTCGATCTTGCGAATCACCCCATCGCACCAACTTTCAGGTAACCGTTACCAGCGTGGTCGTGACCAGCCAGTGACATCCTGGCAACGTTCTTCATGGCACGCCTCATGACCTTCTCACTCCGGACTCCACGACCCTCTCCATGTTCATCCTTGCCCCACCCCCCTCCTCATTCCCCTCCTCACCCTCACCTCCCCGGCCACCTCCTGTTCCACTCCATTCCCCTCTTTCTTCCATTCTTGGGACGAATAGTCAATTTTCGGGGCCAGCGGCCCGTTTTCAAGGTTTGCGGCCAGTTTTGGAGGTTGGCGGCCAATTTTCGAGGTTTGAAGCAAGTTTTTTGGGCTGGCGGCCAGTTTTTTGGGTGTCCAGCGCTCCTGGAGGGGCGGGTCTGCCGGACCGCCCCTGGCAGGCTGAGAGGGGCGGGGTGCTCGACGGTGCTCGACGGTGCTCGACGGTGCTCGACGGTGCTCGACGGTGCTCGACGCTGGGGGTGCTCGACGGTGCTCGACGGTGCTCGACCCCTGGACGGCCAACCAGGGGATTTCGAGGCTTGGATGAAGCCCCAAGCTGGTTTTCGAGTGCGTTTTGCCAAATTTGTTCCGAAACGTACACATTCTGCTTGAATAGTGGCCCACCTGTTCTGTTAATGGTCATTGGCGCCGCATTAGGATTCCAGCGCAGGTGTCTCCTCTTATTGCCATATCCGTAAGGGCTTCGCCCCCTGCCGCCGGCCCCCTCTCTCGGAGAATGGGCCATGGAACAGCTAAGTCATGAGGTCTTGGCGCTGTCGTGAAGCAGTATCGAAACTTCATGCGAAGCCGATTCGCAATCAGCAAAACCAACTGATCACAAGAGGGGTTACCACACCTGGCGATTGGTAAGACGTGTATGGTTTACGGGCTTGGTTACCACACCTTGCGATTAAAGGGCCGAGGGAGTTCTCGCAGTTTGGGTTACCACGCCTTGCGATGGATGTGCGTGAAGGGTGGCACCGAATTTCAGAAATGTGGCAAATCCCCTGTGTTTTTGGACCCTGACCCCGCGGATCTGCGTGAGGGGTGGCACCGAATTTCAGAAATGTGGCAAATCCCCTGTGTTTTTGGACCCTGACCCCGCGGATCTGCGTGAGGGGTGGCACCGAATTTCAGAAATGTGGCAAATCCCATGTGTTTTTGGACCCTGACCCCGCGGATCTGCGTGAGGGGTGGCACCGAATTTCAGAAATGTGGCAAATCCCATGTGTTTTTGGACCCTGACCCCGCGGATCTGCGTGAGGGGTGGCACCGAATTTCAGAAATGTGGCAAATCCCCCGTGTTTTTGGACCCTGACCCCGCGGATCTGCGTGAGGGGTGGCACCGAATTTCACAAATCCCTTGTGTTTTTGGACCCTGACCCCGCGGATCTGCGTGAGGGGTGGCACCGAATTTCAGAAATGTGGCAAGTCCCCTGTGTTTTTGAACCCTGACCCCGCGGATCTGGTGAGGGGTGGCACCGAATTTCAGAAATGTGGCAAATCCCGTGAGTTTTTGGACCCTGACCCCGCGGATCTGCGTGAGGGGTGGCACCGAGTTTCAGAAATGTGGCAAATCCCCTGTGTTTTTGGACCCTGACCCCGCGGATCTGCGCGAGGGGTGTCGATTTCGAGCCCCCCCAGCAATTCAGACAACGCGCCCAGGGGGTGCTAAAAAGCCGGTTTGGGCCTCCCCCCCCCTCGCGCGGTCAATCAACTAGTTACAGTAACCAGCAATAAGCAGATTTGTAACACTGGAAACAGCAAGCTACAACTGGTACAGGAAACTGCGAATCCCGCTCCTCGCAGCCTGGTGGCCCCACAAGGGGGCCGGCGGATTCCTTTCCCTTCCTCCTCCTCCTCCTCCTCCTCCTCCTCCTCCTCCTCCTATTACTATCCTGACCCCCTCTCCTTCACCCCCTCCTCCCCTCCCCCGTCCAACACCTGCCCATCCACCCACCCTTTCACCTTCCCGTCCCGGATCACCACGGGACCTCGCCGCCCCCTGGGGGGCTTGCGATCTGCGCAATTGTCGCCTATTTCGTGGGCCCCTGGGAGGCCCAGCGGAGGTACGTCCCACGCGGATTACCTCGGTACCTCGCCGCCCCCTGGGGGGCTTGCGATCTGCGCAATTGTCGCCATGTTCGTTCGTGGGCTCCTGGGCGGCTCAGCGGAGGTAGGCCCCACAGCGGATCACCAGGGGACCTCGCCGCCCCTGGGGGGCTTGCGATCTGCGCAATTGTCGCCACTTTCGTGGGCTCCTGGGAGGCCCAGCGGAGGTACGTCATACGCGGATCACTACGGGACCTCGCCGCCCCTGGGGGGCTGCGATCTGTGCAATTGTCGCCACTTTCGTGGGCTCCTGGGAGGCCCAGCGGAGGTACGTCATACGCGGATCTCCACAGGACTTCTTGCTGCGCTCTTCTGAAAGCATTGTTGGGTGCTCTTTCAGCGCATTGCGGGTCCTTCAGAATGCCAGTCAGCATTGAGTGGTCCTGAGTGTAATCGCCATATGTATAGAAAGGGTTGGGTACGTCACATGGTAATTTTCTCCGTCTTTCAACCGGACCTTGAAGTCGTCGTGGCAGCACGATGGCCAACTTGTCCCTGATTGCTTTCCTCTTTCTGCTGCTGCTGCTCCTCCCCCTCCTCCCTGCGTCGTTGTCGCTGTGCGCAGCAGTTTCGCTGGAACCACCTTTTGCGTAAGGGAGGTCTCCAAGTCGACTCTGTGTGGCTGCCAGCTGTCCAGCACCCCACCAGCATGTTCAGCCCGCGCGCGATGTTTCAAGATGGTGGGGCGGCTCTCGCCGAGCAAGGGAAGTGCAAGGCGGTGTGCCCCGAGTCGGGCGGGCTCAGCTCGGCCCCCACGCGATGCCCCACGGCAGAGCTGTGCGCCTTTGGCGACGACCAGGATGCCGACGCGTTCGAGGAGATTTTGGGCGCCACCGCCTCGCCGAAGGACGGCGACGAGCCCGCGCTGCTCGAGGCGGTGCTCCGCCAGACGGCCGCACTCGGAGACGGGCACCCCGGGAGGGGGCCTGCGATGCTGGCGCCGAGGGGGGCTCCTGCGCGAGTCGCAGCGCCACCGAGGGGTGCCCCCGGGCGCCTCCGGTCCGTGGCGTACTGGGAGCAGAGGGCCGCCGCCGCCCGGCAGACGGTGGGCTCGCCCTGGGAGCTTGGCGTGAGGCAGCGCCGCCCGCGCCACGAGGATCAACGAGCGAGTTCCTCCACTCGCCAAGTGCCTGCTCGCAAGCGCCCGGGAAACACACGTCTGATTCGGTATGATTTCTCGTAGGTCCCCCGCGGCGGGTCCAGGCCATTTGCGAGTAGTCACTGTGCGGGTAGTGGAACGCGCTCGTTCAGAGGAGGACCGCCTCGGTTTGGGGGCGGCTCCGAGGGCTCCGGCAGGAGGCGCCGGAAACGAAGGTGCCGCTGACAGCCCCAGCAGCTGGGCGGGCGCTGTCTCCAGGGAGTTGCGCCGTGGGGCGCGCTGGCAGTCGGCGCCGCCAGCCCCGCCGCCAGGGTCGCCCTCGGCAGCACTCGGGGCCGCTCTGAGGTCGCGTGGTCGGTCGTACTACCCGGCTGGGAGCCGCTAGGTGAGCATGAAAAATATTGGGGGTGGACAGAACCCACACACTGACACGTCGATTAGTGAATTGTCCGTTATCGGTTCTCGAGAACCCGCATCGTGAGGATGAGCGACTTTCTTAATGTTGCCCTGGCATCATTGCCCCTTCGGCCCATCCCTGGCCGCTTTCGGTGGCCAGCCTCGCTCGAAGCTCGTTAACGTGGCGCTCCAAGGTCCTTGCATCGAAGAAGAAAGCTCGCCATGAGCAGAATTTGTTAGCGATCCGCGCGGACTTTTTGGATCCGCGCTGGGACCCCTCGCAGGCGCCTCTGGCGCCCTTCCTTTTTTTGACTACACAATCGCTGGCGAGCTCAGCCAGAGCCACTCGCCCGAGAGGCATGCTGCGTCAGTTTCACGGTCCCGCGCCCGTGCCTGGCAGGCGCTGAGCGCTCCCTTCCTTGCCCGGGGGTCTCGGATGCTCGTGCAGGCACTAACTGCCAGTCACGATCGTGAGCGTGCGCGGATGACGTTTTGGGCGGCGAGCGAGGGGGGGGAAATGAGAAGGAGAAGGCCTTCTCAGAAGGCGGCGGAGCTTCTCAGAAGCTCTCGCGCCGTCTGATACGCTTTTTGTCTTCGGGGAAGGGCTAACAAAAACTTCTCAGAAGGCCGGGAGACTTCCGTACCTTCTGAGAAGGCCTTCTCCTTCTCACTTCCCGCTCGCTCGCCGCCAGGTTTTCGCAGCAGCCGAAGTGTCCAGCCCCGCGCGGGAGCGGGAGGACGATGGCAGCGGCGGCCGCCCCCACCTCCGCCTCCCTCCTCGTCTGCCTCTCTCCTCAGCCCTCCTCCGCATCACCTCTTCTCCTCATCGCCTTCCTCTTGCTGCCCCGAGCATGGGCAGGGTCGCCAGCGAGCTTCACTACGGTCAACTTAACTGACTGCATAAAGATGCTCGCGCACGGCGCCAATGTGTCTCATTTTTTTAATCTTCTAATTCGTTTATTTCCAACCATCCTGTGGTGTTGGGTTCTTGTTTTGGAGAGACAGTCCACGCGATCCTCACTCCTTCCTCCCCCCCCTCTATCCTCACATCCCTGCCTCTGCCCTTCGCACCAGCCACGTTTCGGCACACCTCCCACACGTTTCGTGGACCTGTAAGGAGCTTCACCGAAGGTCCCAGTGGCAGGGTCCACATGCGTTACCCGGCCCATCTCGGCACACCCCTCACGCTTCGTGGCCCCACTGGGAGCTCCACCGAAGGCCCCAGTGGCAAAGATCGCATGCGATTCCCCGCCCATCTCGGGCACACCCATCGCACGCTTCGTGGCCCCATAGGGAACTCCACCGAAGGCTCCAGTGACGGGGTCCACACGCTGTCCCCCATCCATTTGGTGCACTCCTCAAATGTTTCGTGGCCACATGCGGAGCTCTACCGAATGCCCCAGTGGCAGGGTCTACATGCGCTTCCCCACTCCTGTTGGCACACCCCTCCCACGCTTCGTGGCCAGGGAGCTCCACCGAAGGCCCCAGTGGCACGGTTCACATGTGGTTCCCCGACTGTTTCGGCACACACCTCGCACCTTTCGTGGCTCCTTAGGGAACTCCTCTGAAGGCCCCAGTGGCAGGGCCCACGTGCGGTTCCCCACCCATTTGGGCACACCCCTCACACGCTTCGTGGCCCCATTGGGAGCTCCTCCGAAGGTCTCAGTGACAGGGTTCGCACGCGGTTCCCCGCCCATTTTGGCACATTCCTCACACGCTTCGTGGCCCCGTAGGGAGCTTTACCGAAGACCCCAGTGGCATGGTCCACACGCGGTTCCCCGCACGTTTCTCGGCCCCATAGGGAGATCCACCGAAGATCCACCGAAAGCGGTGCCCACAACGCTGTACTCACGGTTGCATATGATTGGGCCATTTGCCAGGGAAGTTTTTTTATAGCGTTTGCCCCAAGCGCGGCGAAGGGTTCACGCCCGCCGTCTGCTGCTTCGCGGGAACCTGAACATGTTGCACCCGCGCTAGTGCCTCGCCACTGAAACGTGGCGACGACGCGTCGCGCACTTTCCTCTGCATGCGGGGCGCTTTGAGGCGGGCCGTCGGCCAGACTATCACGAGGTGGGTTGAGGGCAGCGCAGGGAGGTACGGGCACTGGAGAGGAGGAGGAGGAGGAGGAGAAGGAGGAGGAGGAGGAAGTATCCAAGCATGCAGCGGCAACTGGGGAAGCAGGTAGCACAGAGTTAATGTCAGACGCTCGTTGTTACCGACGCCGTTTGGCTCAAACTTCCAACGTTCGGAAGGCTGACTGATCCGAGCGTTGTGTAAAATCAAACGCGCGGTGCTATGTTGAATCTTCCTTTATATTTTGCACGGTAGCGGAACGCCAGATACAATGACAGGACTTGCATCAGTTGCCTTTGCCCCAGGCCCACAGGACCCACCCATTGAATTCCGCGTACTTGCGGATTGGGAGGCTTGGGTTAGACTGCGTGTCCAGAGGTCAATGGACAGGTGTGTATCGTCAACAGTTGATGGACATGTTGATTCTGTGAAGACAGCACTTCATGCCACCGATGAGGAAACCAGGGATTCCATTACCGACCGCATCTCCACGGACCCCAGGGGGATTACCCAGCAAGAAGCCTTCGACATACTACGCACGCAGCAGAAAATTAATGCCATGCTGACGAGTGTCGTTAACCGAAACGCTGTGGTGGAACGAGAAACGCGCAATCTTCACTGACAGGTTGAGAGCATCGCGGCGAGCACGAAGACACATGATGACACGTTGGTGGATCTCTAAATTAAGCGATGCCCTCAACAAGGGCTGAGGAAAAAGGAGGAGGCGGCAACAGCCGTCCTGTCAGTGAATTCGAAGCCCTAGCAGAGCCTAAAAGCTTTTACCGGCGACGAAGCTGAGTTCAGGGAGTGGGACGACAGGCTACTCAATGTTCTGGCACAGGTGCGTCTTAACCACCGTGGAGCAGTCAAGTCCGTAAGCAAGAAATTGGAGACAATGGATGGAAGCATCACTGAAGGGGTTTCGCGGGACTTGTTACGAATTCTAAGTGGGCGATGAACACACGCCGAGGACCAGCAGGCCAGCATGGCCAGACAGCAGCAAGATGATGATGAAGGAGAGTTGGAGTTTACCGACGACGACATGAACAAACTCGATGAGGATCGCCAGTACGTCCTTAACTCAAAGTTTGAGGGACCCAGCGCAAATTGCAACTCAAGGGCTTAACTGTCGGAGATGGACTTGTCGCATATCAGACATCTGCACGTATTACCCGGCTTTCACGGAAGGTGCGTTGGCGCAAAAGATGTACCAGGCGATGGGCCCCGAGCAGCCCGAACGAGTTAAATAAGTATTGGTCAAGTTAGAAGAACGGAGTGCTTTGGTGCAGGCGTTCGAAAAATATGGGGGTATCGTGCACGCTGCCCCTGCCCTTCAGAGTCATTGCCCTCCGCGCGATCATGAATCATTTGTGTGATTCGTTTGTCAAATCGCAAAAGGGCCTTTTCGTCCGGATGTCCTTAGTGCAGACACTTACCAGAAAGTCTGCACTAAACGTTCAGACTGGGCCAGGGTAAGAAGTTGGAGGCGGACGCGAAAGATGACGACGCCGCGGGCGTTGGGATTATTGACAGGGCGCTTCCAGTTTTCAACGCGACTTGCAACGCAGGTGGCTGGGATGTCCGAGGATGGGTTGATGATTGCGGAATGTGGTGGCCCCATGGCGGTTGCTGGCGACTTCCAATAGAATTCGATAATGACGAGGCGGGCGCGGTCACCAAATACAGAGGAAAAGGTTGCCAAAATTTTCAAGTGCGGCGGATTTGGGCACCTGGCCAGAGACTGTCGGGAAGTCCAATGATCACGACTGAGTGAAAAGGCGGCAAATGGGGCAGAAGGCAAGGGCAGTTTCCGAACCTCTGAGTGCAATTGCCTTCAGGGAAAGCACGGTGGCAAGAGCCAACGCCGAGGGCGAGGTAGCTGCGGTGGCGCGTGGTTCGTTCAGCTACCGACCGTGAGTGCTACGCGTGTGGAGGCAAGGGGCATCTCGCCGTTGATTTACCGACGTCGGCTGACGAATTGAAGCAGGGTGGCCGGGGGTGCGTGGAGCCACCGTGCTCGGACAACCACGACGGCGCGCTTTCGGGGGATCACCGAGCGAGGGCGATCGGATGGACATGGTTAACTCTGCTGATCCACCGACCATTGATGAGGCGCCTGAGGAATGGGGCAGTCAGAGGCATGACAGTAAACAAGGGAACATAATCGAGGCCCTGCGTGTGCGCAAATGCCACCGAGTGCATCAACGTGAGCGCGCGGAATCGGGTAACCGCATAGTCTTTGACCGCGATGGCAATCCCAGAGGTCCAAATGATCAAAATGATGACCGGGTCAATGTCCACCATCATCATGTAATTATGATCGGGGCATTTCTTCTAACAGCAATATTGACCGGTCATGCGTTTACATCATACCCAAGGATCATAACATATCATAGTTTCATGCCGTCGCAGCTACGAGCACACACATACTCGCATTTATATGTATTCTGTGTATATATATACTTATAATATATCCCCGAACCAACCCGCGACCCATCCGCGAACCCGCCCGCGAACCCCAACCCTGGGACAGCCAGATAGAGGGGGATGGGAAGAGGAAGACGGAGTAAATAACCAAGTAGTGTCGCTGCTGCGTTGCCTCTCTTCCTCTGATCTCCCTCGTCCTCCTGCCGCTGCTCCTCCTCCCGATCTTCCGTCCGCTCCAACTCCTTGCCCTGCTCATCTTCCTCCTCCGCCTCTCCTCCTCCGCCTCCGCCTCCGCCTCCTCCTCCTCCTCCTCCACCTCCTTGCTGCGCCCCTGGTGCCGTTGCTTGGCCCCCTTCTCTGCCGCTGGTCTTGCCCCTGGTCCGTTGCCCCCCCTCTGCCGCCCTCTTCTTCGCAGCCATTTTGGCCCCGTGTCGGTTGAGTGGGGGCGGGCGCCGAGCCAGCCTTGGCGAACGGTAGTCGGCAAGAGCCTGCTGATGGCGGCGGCGGTCCAACCCGAGCCTGGCACCGCCCAGTGGAGGGCGTTGCACGACGAGCCGTCGCCGCCGCGCGCGGCGCCGCCGACGGGCGTTCAGCTGCGCGACGCGCTCGTGGAGGGTGGCGACGGGCACAGCGCTGCCATTGACTGCGACGAACTCGTGGAGGGTGGCGACGTGCAGCGCAGCGCATCCATTGACTGCAACGCGCTCGCGAAGGGTGGCGACGTGCAGCACGGCTCGGCCATTGACTGCGAGGCGCTCGCGAAGGGTGGCGACGTGCAGCACGGCTCGGCCATTGACTGCGAGGCGCTCGCGAAGGGTGGCGACGTGCACAGCTCGGCCATTGACTGCGAGGCGCTCGTGAAGGGTGGCGACGTGCACAGCGCTGGCATTGACTGCGAGGCGCTCGTGAAGGGCGGCGACGTGCAGCGCAGCGCTGACATTGGCTGCGAGGCGGTGCCGATCGCATCCGAGCTCTCGCCGACGTCGAAGGAGATCGCCGCTGCAGTCAACGCTGGCGGCGGTGACAACGAGGCGGTGGCCGTCGCGCTGAGCCAAGCGGGGCAGGCGAAGCAGCTCGAGATGAGCGCGAAGGAGGCCGAGATGATCAGGCAGGCCACGGTGCTGAGCATGCAGCAGGCGCAGCGGGATGGCGTCGACATCGGCGATGTCGCGTCTGTCGGCACAGCGTCGACGGCGGCCTCGTCGTGGGAAGGGATGTCGGGACGTGCGCCGACCAAGGATCGGCTGGGGTCGTTGATGTAAGTCACCGTTACTTGAACCCCCCGACCTACCCAATGTCCTACACCTCCACCTCCTCCAAACCTCCCCTCATCCCCCTGCCCGCGCATTCCAGCCAGGAGCACGAGGCTGTCGTTGGACCAGACGGACGGATTCGCGGTGGCTCGCGGACCAAGGACCGCACCGTGGCCCTCGTTTGATACCTCCTTCATGATGAGATCCTTCCTGTTCGCTCGCCTCCTCACCTTCCCCCTCCGCCTCATCAGATTCCGCCTCATCCTCACAGTCATCATCCTCCTCGTCGTTCTCGGTTCTCCCATCGGCGTTCCCATTCGAGTCGTCTCATGTGCCGATCTCCGCCCCCAGCTATCCTCGATATCGCCCTCCCAGATCGGCGCCTTCATTCATCGTGCCCCCTCTCCCCTTCGATGGGGAGCGGGCTAAACGATGTGGGGCTCTGAGGGCTTATTCTGGATCCCAGGGCCGCGGCGTCGACCGCGACGACTCCGCCAGCGGCGACATGGGCGCGCACGAGGCCGTCCACTGTCGTTGTCGTCGGCATCCCCCCCCAAATTCCTCCTCCTCCTCCTCCGCCTCCTCCTCGTCCTCTTCCTCCTCATCATCCTCCTCGTCCTTCCTCTTCCTCGTCCTCAGCATCGTCCTCTTCCCCGGCCTCCTCATCACCCCCATCCTCCTCATTCGCAGCTCGCTTGGTCCAATCGTCCTACGACATCGGATCTCGTCTTCCTCACCCTCGTTCGCCCTCCAGGTGCCTCTTGTCAGACGTCGAGTCTCATTGCAAAACCCATCGCAAAATCCACCGCGATGGATTTTGCGATGGAAAGCGCGACATCCCCGCCCTGCGCAGGGCTTGGACGTCCGCAGGGAGGCGATGCTCAAGGCGTTGGCGGCGCAGCATCTCTTCGGCACGTTCGAGGACAGCTGCCGCATGCTCTCTCTTGCTTAGCGGTCGGTGCGTCAGAAACCGCGCGATCTGACCAGACTGTTTGGGGGTATCCAGCCGTGGCGAGATGGCGGCCCTTCAAGGGGCTAGAGATCAGGGCTGGACCTAAACGCTGCGTTGCTGGACTTCGGCTGTGTTTTGCGTTTCGTCGTGGCAGAGGGGCGCAGGAAAACAAATTCAGCAATGCCTCGCGC